GTCTTAGTGAACCATGTCAGCTGCTGTAAAATGTGCCTATCTCCCAAAACTTCTGTTCCTGTAAGCCTTGCTGCGAGCCCTCGCCCCCACCCTTAAACTCCAATGTGTGCCTATCTCACAGAACTTCTCTTTCTGCAAGCCCTTGCTGTAAGCCCTCGCCCCACCCTCGAATTCCAAGAACTTCTCCAGACCCCCAACCATATCTAGTCTCAGCAGCTGCCATGTCTCCTTGGACTCCCTGAGTTGTACCCCGCCTGCTTTGTGGTTTTAAGCTTTATAAACCCCACCCCACCCCTTTCAGCTCGCACTTAGGCACTTTGTGCCGGGTGTTGCCACTGGGTACCAGCTAAAATAAAGCGCTTCTTTAACTTTTGGACTTGCCTCGTTGTCATTCGATTTTTGAGCTACAACAATGATTTGTAGGCTGTGGTCCCAAAACCTGCTGCTACGGATCTTTCTATACAAACATACACATGAAAGTGATGGGCTTTTTCACTGTAAAGTTCTATAAAATTTAAGGACTGTAGAAAAATGTGTTTGACATATTTTCAAAATTATGCAAATTTTCTCAGTTTCTTTAAAAAAGGCCTTAAACTAGCAGAGTTTTTCAATCTTAGATTTAACACTTCACTCATTATTCAAAATTAAGTATGAACTTGACAGAATAGATGCCCCAGAGTGTCTAAGACACTATTTTATATGTGGAAAACAGATGGAGAACATTAAAAAAGATATCGAGCTATTTTCAGAATGAGACTAAAGAATTCTGCAGAAGAAGGGTGGGGACACAAGCGCACAAGTGGACAACCAGAATTGCTGAGCAACAGCGTTATTTTAATGACCTGGAGCTATCTCTTTTCTGCAGATTCTAAGGACAGCGTTCTTCACCTCTCTGTTCCTGAGGCTGTAGATGAGGGGATTCAGCATGGGGATCACAATGGTGTAAAACACAGAGGCCACCTGATCCTTGCCCAGGGAGTAGGACTGCTTGAATTTAAAGTAAGTAAAGAGTATAGTGCTGTAAAAGAGGGTGACACCCAGGAAGTGGGAGGCACAGGTGTTGAAGGCTTTCCGCTTTCCTGCAGTGGAGTTAATTTTCAGTATAGTGTAGAAGATGGACGCATAGGATGCAGAGATGATGATGAGAGACAGTGAGCTGAATGCAGAACAAACTAATATAACAAGTTCAATACCTGAAGTATCAGTGCAGGACAAGGCTAAAATGGGAGAGAGGTCACAGAAAAAGTGACTGATGACATTAGAGTTACAGAAATGCAGACTGCTTATTAAAATCACATTCACAGTGGAATCTACAAGACCAGGGACATAAGAACCAGCGAGCAGCACATAGCACAGTCTCGAGGACATAACAAATGGATAGCGTAAAGGGATGCAAATAGCCACATAGCGGTTATAGGCCATGGAGGAGAGGAGAAAGCATTCGGCAGTAGCAAAGAATATAAAAAAGTACATCTGGGTGAAGCAGCCCAGGAATGAGATGCTCTTGGTTGAAGCCACTAAGTTCTGTAAGGTTCTAGGGGTGATGACACTGGAATAGCTGAGGTCGAGGACAGACAGGTGAGTGAGGAAAAAGTACATGGGTTTGTGCAACTGGGGGTCCAGGCGAATGATCAGGATCATCCCTGTGTTCCCCAGCACTGTGACCAGGTAGATGAGGAGGAAGAGCAGGAAGAGGCCCAGCTGTGTCTCTGCAGTATCTGCCAGCCCCAGGAGGATGAAGTCAGGGATATCGGTGGAGTTCCAGCTATTTATGGTGTCCTGAAGCACTTGTGGTTTTAATAATAAATTTTGAGATTTTCCTGTCACCAAAATATTTTGGTTTGTATGAGTGGCACAATATTTTTCTTAGTGTACCTAGAGTAGGATGAATGTATTGTAAATAAGAAGGAAAAAATATACATTTCCTTGCTTAGATATGATTATACCAGGAGGCTTGTTTCTGGTATTTGAAAAGATTCATACTGTTTTCAGTGTGAAATTGATTACTGCTCTAAATCTTTTTCATTACTAATACATTTAATAATGTGCAAAATATTATGCCATAATATTACCCACATACTTTATAGCAGAGCAAGGACACGAGATTATGTATGTGAAAGGGCAGTAATGCGTGGCCTCTGATTCCTCCTGGGTATTCTGACTCCAGAGATTTCACTTGGGATGGAGTATTGCTGCCCGGAATGTGGTTTACACTCCTGAATGAGCCTGTATCTTTGACTCTGGTGACAACCATTTCTGTTTTATTCCTCTTTGTCTTTGTTCCCAATGACTTCTCAGACTAATTTTTATCTGGGGTTTAGGTGTGCCACAGCCATAATAAATTCTTGAAAATATGGTAACTGAGAAAAAAGGGGTTATCTTCTATCTTGGAGACAAGTTTTCACTGTAGTTTCCAGGCAGGCTTGAATTTGCAGCTATCCTGTTCTCTCAACCTCTGGGGTCCTGGAATCACAGGCATGCGCCACCAGGTGTGGCCTAAACTCAATCTTGAACTGTTTTGCATTGTTTTTAATAAGCTCCTTCAATCCCTGGTTCCAAAAAAAA